TCAGCTCCGGTTGGGAGTCTCCACCGATGATTTGACGTGAGAAACACCCTTGGGTGCGTAATCCATTGGGGAAGCTACGGCTCTTTAGTCTTCACCGTCAAGCTCACGTTGGTTGTGTTGGTATCTCAGGTGTGCCTGGAGGCCATAGCAAATGTGTTTCTTGGTCTGGTGGCCATGGGAGAGTTTGGGTGGTGGTGGTTTAGGCTGGTGGGGTGCGTAATGTAAAGGTGGTTGTCTTAAAGGGAAGGGAAGAAGCAGCAAAGTCAGGTATTGGGCAGCTCCTCCATTTCCCAAAGGGCTTGGGTGAGTGATGGGACCCGGTCTGCTGCACAGGGAACCAGGGGCAGGAGCCAGGAATTTCTTTGTTAAAGGAGTTACAGCATTCGTGTTATTTGGGGATTAAACTCCCTGTGTCTACCCTGACTTCTGCACATGACGAGTTCCTGGTACCTTCAGCAAAGGGGGAGGAAAAAAAACAACTATGGGAAGGCACAGTGGACCAAGGTGATGAACCACTGCCTACGGAGGGATATTAAGAACAAAAGATGCCCCAAAGGGATGGGGAAAGGGGCTGCTCAGTCCAGACAACTACATCTTGGTGCCAAAGAAGTTGGGAAGTGCAATGGGAGCCACCAGCGACTGTCATGTTGACACAGACCTCACGAAGGATGCTCAAAGGGGCGGTGAGCGGTTCCCCTCCTCTGCAGATGGAAGCAAGGCACTGTGAAGCGACGGCCAGGGAGATTTGGCCGCAGATGGGTATTTCACCCCGGCTTTTGGTCAACACGAAGACAGACGCAACAAAAGACTGGATAGTGGGAATGAAGACACAGACAGAAGCGCAGCCGATGTGGAAGCCAAGCGCTGAGACCATCGGACCCATCGCTCAGGATGGCTTCCCCCCAATGTGCTCGGAGGGAGCTGGCACATGAAATGGCAGGTCTGGTAACAAGTATTTTTAACAGTTCCATCGAGTTGGGGGAGGCACCATCTGACTGGAGAATAGCGAATGCGATGCCTATATTTAAAAGCGGGGGGAGGAGGGGAAGGCAGGCAGGAATAGGACTGTAAGCCTGACCTCAATCGCATGCCGTTTTGGAACAGATTTGGAAGGCAAAAGAGGAAAATGAATCATGGGTTTGCCAAAGGTAGGTCACTCCGGGCTAACCTGGCATCGCGGACCTGGAAACGTGTAGAGCTGCTCTTTATAGTAAAGCTTTTGCTATGGGAAAGTGTTAATGAAGCGGAGAAGAGGGGAAGGAGAAGAGGAGCTCTGCGAGGCTGGCAGGGAAGGAAGCAGTGTTGGGATGGCACTGGGTGGTGTTGAGGAGACATAGTGGCTGGTGGTGACCGATGGGGCTCCTTGGAGATGAGTCACAGGCTTTCCTGCTTCCAGCGTCGGCTGGCTTCCCGGAGCTGGGGGGACGGAGGCTGCCACCCTGGGGTGGAGGAGATTGAGGGCTGGAGGAAGAGATGTGGGATGCAGTGAGAAATTGAAAGCCACATGCTTGTTGAGGAACAGCAAAGAGATCTCCTAGGAGCCCAGGTGTGGAAAAGGAGGGGATGAGCGAGTAACCGCAGGCCAGCGGTGCCGTGCGGGAGGAGGGAGGTTTGCAGGCAGGATGGCAAAGTCTTGGTAGCATCATGCAGGGATGGAGAGGGACCCATCAGAATTATTCACTCAAGTCTCCTGTGTCCAGGGAAGATGAACTGAGCCTGGACTGGAGCCAGGAAGGGGGGATAGATAAAATAGGGAGGGAGAGCCAGTCATGCAAGAGAGAACTGGAGGAACCTTGCTTTGACTATCAAAGTGGAGGCTGAGGATGGTCATGGTTGCTATCTATAAATACATCAGGATGGGAAACGGGAAGGAGAAGAGCTGTGTCAGCCAAAGGCCAATGCTGGCAAAAGAACAGAGTGGTATATAAAATGACCACGAATAAATTCAGGCTGAAAATTAAAGCAGCCATTAGATAATTGCTTGAGGAGCCTTCCAGTGGGAATAGTGAGTTTTTAAGGTAGAGTTGACAAAATCTGGGGGAGATTGTGTGATGTGATGGAGTCTGGACTCAGCAACTCTACGAGACGCTGGCAGTCCACATCCTCCCTCCAGGCAAACCCGCTGGCCTCCGACTGGGGAGCGTGGTGTGTGTCAGAGCATTGGGGTTGACAGGACACGTGTCCAGGCATGGCGGTTTCTTTGGTTCCCTGGGCAGACGTGCTCCAGCTTTGGGAGTGGAGAGATGGGAATACATCCACTTCTGGGTGTGCGTATGTGCACACGCTGTTCTGCTTGCTGATGTCCTGCTGCACTGGATGCTTTGTGGCCATGCTCTCTGCCGTGGGCTAGAGAAGCAGTGGAAGATGCAGAGCCTGTGAAATGCCAAGCCCCTCGTTTTTCCCAAACAAGCCCCCTTGTTCCCCCCAGCTGGGAACTCTACAGCCTGGGTGCTGCAAAAGTACCGGAGCAACTCTTCCAGCTCCTTCGGGAATAAAAGGGCAAATTTCGGTAGTTGGAGCAGCCGAGCAGGTGCCAGATGGACAGGCTGGGGGCACCGTAGCCCGGCTGGGCATCACCAGCTCCTGGTTTTGTAGGGAATGTTGGGACGTGCCCTGGGAAATTTTATCTTGGGGTTGGAGGTTGCAGCAAAGCTGGCACTGGGCAAGGGGTCCATGTGGCTGCTCAGATCAGGACCGTTCCTGGGGCTGCTGGCATCATCCTGGGTGGCTGGGACCATCCCTGAGCTCGCTCTGGCCAGCGGTGTGTCCTTGGGTGCATAGGGTCCATGGCCACACCTCCCCATCCTCTCCCCTGCTTCAGCAATGCCTCTTCTGGAGCTGCTGGATGCTAGCGATGCTGGACAGGTAACACCCCAAACCCCCTAAAATCTATCTAATCCCCTTTATCTCCACCTCCACGGGAGCTGGGTGCCCAAATGCATGTAGAGGTTGGGATCACAGACAGCCCGTCCCATCAGGGTGCTGTCAAGCCCCTGCCTCAGGTTTCTTGGCTGCAGGTCCCCAACACCAACAGCTTTGGCCGTGTCCACAAAACACTGTGGGAAGAGGTGGTCTGGGCGCTGCTGCTGATATCGCTGGCTGATAACCCTGGGGAAATTGCCCTCTGTTCCATCATCTCATCCCCATCTCTTGCTCCATCTCCTGCTAAGCATCGCTGGAGGGGAGAAGGCCAAAGGAGGAGGGATGGCGATAGCCCAGCACTGGGGGAAGATGTCTCCTTCACCCGTAGGAAAGGAACTCATCTGTTTTGCATCCTCTGTGCCAAGGACCTTGGGGAAAGCCCACAGCTTTTGGGCAGGAGCCAATTTCAAAGGCGAGCAATCCTGGCACGGGTGGCAGGTACCCAGTGACATCTTGGCAGGAAGCTGCAGCCCAGCCAAGCTTGGGCTGAGGGGTGCACGATGCCTTGAAGACTAATGCCATGGCAAATCGTGCTGTTAGAGCAGAGCATGGTGGCCTGGGTGTCTCTAGAGGGTGATGATGAGTGTTGGCTATACAGGATTCCCATGAATCATTCCTGCCTTCCTGCTCTTACTTCACCCATGGCCCTGAGGAGAGGGGCTGGTGGTGGACTGGGACTGTTGAAAGGTGCAGGCTGTTGAGAAGATGTGTGTGGTTTTCCCGGTGCCGAAGGAGGAGGACTCTGAGTCTTTCCAGATGCTTTCTCCAGCCTCAAAGCCCTTATTGCTGCTGTGTGCCAGGCTTTCCTCAGCACCGGGGGCTCTGCCCACGGCATCCCCCTCCCGGTGCTGTGGTCGGTGCCTGCAGCGGGATGTGCTGGTGTCACTGTTCCCGCCCTGGCCTCAGTGTCAGGGTGGTAGGGACGCCCGGCTTGGGTTCCCACTGGCACCTCGGTCACCAGAGGAAGACTCCAGCGCGGTGGCTTTCTCTCCCCCTTGGAGATGCGCTTCTCCCCTTGCAGAACCTCGTCTCGGCTCCTGTGCTGGCCGACTGGGAGACGTGGTGCCAATGACTCAGACGAAGATGAGGGCTTAATTAGCACGGGGAGAGGGAAGGAAGAGAGAGAAAAGAGAAAGAGTCTTTCATTGCAACAAGATTGATACCACCTCCCCCAGACAGTCACGTTCTGCCGCATCACCCTCCAGCCCAGCGTCATGTGTGCCGTGCCTGACACTGGAGGACAAATGGGGCCTGGGAAGTGGCTACGAAGTACAGAGGGGCACTGCTTTGCTAAAAACCTCAGTGAACAAATGTCTGGAGGTACTGAGCAGGGCTTGCCAGCAGCCTTTTTAGCTGTTGGGCTTTGCCCTGTGGCTAGACCTCCCCTCTGCTCTCGGCTTCTTGGGGCTGGGGTAATGTACCTGGGGCAGGAGGGTATCTGCAAGGTATTAGCGGTGATGCTATCAGCAAAATGCTTGTTTGAAGATGTGGAGCTTGTCCGCACCAGCCCTTTTCCCGCTGTGCGTGGAAGGACAAGCATGGGCTGCCCCTTTTCTAGCCGCTACCTTCCCTGGCCCTAAGGCACTTTAGAAATCTTTCCCTCTTAACCTGTGCTGTGCTCGGCAGCGGAGCTGCTTTGCTCTTTGATGGGATGTGCAGGGCAGCACTGAATCAAGCTGCTGGGGTCAGCACGCTCAGGGTGGCCCCCGTGCCCTCAGCACCCCGATTTCGGGTTGCAGGGCCTTGCGCCTCTGACGATACCATTGTCTTACGGCCCCTGCATCCCTGCAGGGATGGTAGGAGGAGGCAGAAAGCGGTCCTGCCTGATGAAGGCTAGAGACCGTGGTTGGGCCAGAATGCCAGGGGCATCAGGGCACTGAGGGCTGGGAGGTCCCTTGCAGACATGCCTGCACAGGCAGTACCTGATGCCATCAAGGCTCGGCCACATCACCCTGAGGAGCCTGGTGTGGTCAGCCTGGAGGAAGAATCACCACCCTGCTGAAGCTAATGTACCTTCCCTCTGCCCTGGGTACTGGTGTCGAAGATAACATCGCACGTGTTTTTTCTTTCCCCTCCAGACCAATGATGCCTTAGGAGCCACCTGGAACTGGCTGTACTTCATCCCCCTCATCATCATCGGATCCTTCTTTGTCCTCAACCTTGTCCTGGGAGTGCTGTCAGGGTAAGCGAGACGCCGTCCTTCCCCTCCAGGCCATGCCCATCACATGTCTCTGAGGCTCGAGATTGGTCCCTGGTACTGCTGTGCCCCCCAGGACCCCAGCAGCTGGTTCCCCCCATCCCCTCCACACCTGCCTGCCCCACAGCAAGGGATTGCTCCCAGGCTCTGCTTAGCTGCTTCGCTCCCTGGGGAGCTGGGAAAGGGACAGCCTTGAAGATGCTTTCTTGTTGTTTTGCCTTGCTGAAGAGGTGGTGGTTTTGATCACCTGTGAGAAATGGGCAGCGTCGATCTTCTGTCTGCTTGCGACCTGCTGGAAGGGAGAGACCTTATGGAAATGTGTTTGAGACTGGGGTGTATCGACAGTGGGGTACGCATTTGCTAGCTGATGGACTGTGGTGGGCATGGGTTGGGATGGGTTTGGGGTACGCGTGGGAGCGATGCGGGGCCAGGAGGATGTGCCCGGTGCTGGTGGGGGCTGCACACTGGTGAGGATAGGGGTGCCCAGGGCGCATGTGGAGAAGCCGGGCACGTAGGGACAACACAATTGTCCCTGTTCTGTTCTTCCCAGGAGAAAGGAGGTTTTAATTCAAACCATTAAGGTGGGTTTGGAGAGAAAAAGGCTGCTTGTCTCCATGACAATGAACTGTG